GAACTGGTTGATCACAAGTGGAGTCGTCTGGAGGCGATGAGTGAGATGCTTTCCTCCATGAGTAAGGAGTACCGAGAAATCGCACAACAGTTGCAGGTTAGATTTTGCCATTTTAATAAATGCTAAAAGTCTCCCTAAAAAACAAACAGTTATTGATGATGTTGTTGCTGTTTTGCATTGTTGGATGACAGAGATCTCGACCGGATTTGCGCTATCCAGACCTCTACGTGGAGATGTACGAAATTGGAGAGAGCACATTTGCGCAACACTCACTCATGAGTGTGTCTGCACTAACCGCTCAATCCACCACCGATGCCACAAATGTAACACACTTTCCGTCGGCTTCCACGTTGATTCAGCAGCCTGTTGCTATGCTTCCGTCAATTTCACATAGTGTTCCCTCCTCCTCCACAGCTCATTGGTCGATTGCGTCGAACAGCATTAAACCCGAGGATTCTGTGTGGTCCATTCAAGATCACTGGAATGACACCACACCCTCCATCTCGTCAGCCAGTCCCTACCAAATCTCCAACTTTCTAGACTCCAACCGCCCGCCTACGCAACCATAGTTGCTTGACGTCCTTGTGGTGGTCAATCTCTCAGGGCTTAAAAAACCAGGGGTTTTGTTTTTACACTTGTTTTGTAACTACAAGGGGATACCGTCTACTCTTCTTCCTCCATCTACTCTTCTTTATCTTATGCTTCTTATCACGCAAAACACGGCTGGGACTTGTTCGAAATCTGCTACCACTACCTCAATGGCTAAATTAAGACCCCCCTGCACCCCTTACGTTCTTCGTTTTTCCCCTTGTTTGTCTATACGTGAGTCGGTATCCTTTTTCCTCAGGAAATTCTCTAAAGTTATATGCACCCCTTTTAAGGGTGATGGATATTAATCTCAGGGTCAGCACCGAGAAGTGTTGCTGAAAATAAGCGCCCTCCATATTGCGAATGCTGCTTTTTGATTGAGTGAAATAAAACCTTTTGCACAATGCTGACCTTTTCAAAAGTAGTGAGATTTATCATTAGGATCTTCCATGCAATTTCCCCCAGAATCATTACTCTCAGACTGCTTTAAACGGCGTTCGCATCGTCCTCCTACCTCCTCAAATTGGCGTTCACTGGAGCAGAATGTATTGCAAATCGAAAACTTTGCGGCTCCTGCCATCTGACATTGCCTTGCCAGATCAAGGCCAATAATTAAAATCCAGGCGGTAGTGAGAGAGACCTGGACACGCAACCAATCATTGCATCTTCATTTAGAAGGGGTTAGTCGAACCTTTGATCAGGAGGCTTTAATGTACGACTTACGTAAATCTCCGAAAATTGGGGCTCGCGTCGAGACCAGTATAGTCAACACAGTGCATCACATAAACTGTAGGCGCATAACTCGATCGCCTCGGTCGAGTTGACTTCTGCCTCACCTACAGTTTTGATTCAAAAAACTATCTACTTATTATTTATAGGTAAAAAGGTTGTAATTCACTTATAACAAGGGAACGACGTATTCGATTATCAATCGCACAAGAAGGTAGACGAAAGCAGGGAGTGGAAGTTAGAGATCTGGAATGTACGACTTCATATCCTGGCCAGTGAGAGAGTTGATCAGTTGCGGGAGACTTTCGATCAAACGAATAATCTCGTTGGACAGCTTCGCAACTCCCACTTCGCCATCGCCTGTGGCAACCATAGTGACCTTGTTGCAGTTAGCCAATGGAGAGCTGATCTCGGCTGCTACGCGCGGCAGTGTTTGCAATACCATGTCCAACATAGCTGCGCCCTATCGAGAAGTTAGAGGGGTGAACAAATTAGGGCTATGACAATCTGGGAGGGCTAAAGCGGTATATGTGTAGCCAATAAGTCCGTCTCCGCTACAACAGTACATTCACCCACCGAAAAACACTGTAATCAGTTAGAAGGTACTTTGTAGATGAAACGTCTTCACCTCATTAAGTATGCGGCGTCGAATGCATATTTATGGTCCTAAAATTCCACAAGTTCCAAGAATTCGCCAAACAGAGGTAACCAAGTGATATGCCCGAATTAATAACTTCACATCTCCCGCTACAGTTTCTAAAGCAGTTATTAAAGTTCTGTAAATATTGACATTTTTGTGGACAAAAAAGCGCATTAGAAGTGATTGTTCTCCGCACTAAATTGCGCATTAAAACAGGCAATCCGTACACGGATTACAAAATGCCCACCTGATAATTCTTGAGTGCCTCAGCCACCCTCCTCATTTTCTCCGCCTCTGCCAACGCTACTGCCCGATTCGCCTCAGCTTCAGCTAGTCCCTTAACTTTTATAGCATCTGCCTCCGCCTCTGCCTCTGCTGTTAAGCGGGTCTACGAAAGGGGGGAGGAAGGAGGGTAAGAATATCAATAGAGTTATGCAGAAGTATACACCAAACAGAGAACCAAACTAATAAAAATGTAAAGCACCGTCAAAAAAGGGGAATTAGGAAAAGTGAATACTGACAAGTAAGGACTAAATCGAGGATATCTGGAGCTATTCGCACAAAACCATCCAAAGATTGTACACAAACTAACTCTTGCTTCAGCGACACCGGTCACACAAGATGACAAAGACACATACGTACCTTATTCTGTTTTTAATACCAAACTTAGTAATCAGGTGAGAAGTTGAGGCCTAACAACAGACAAGGAAATGGGTAAGCAACCAAATGGAGCAAAAAGAACCAACAAGGCAGGAATAAAGTGAAGGTGTTTTGATCACCTGCTCGGCCTCAGCGAGAGCACGAATGCGAAAGCAATCCGAGGCAGCGGGATTGCGCACCTCCGCCTCGAGGCGAAAGTGAGCACGCTGTCGTTCCAATTCCTCCAACTCGATGCGTCTTTTTCGCTCCAATAGCTCTACAGCCATGGCTTCGGCACGGATTGCTTGCTGAGTCTTAGCTGCCTGTAAAAAATTTCACCTTTCAATGAACTACTTGCTTAGGCATCATAAAAATCCAACCCTCATGGAAAAGGAAAATCATTAACAGTCTTTGTGCATTCCCAGGTTGTTTTAAGTGCAATGAAAATGAAGCTTCCGGAGAACCTTCCACTATCTTTTGAGTTCAAGCATCCTCCAATCATTTGACACTCAGTTCACTAAGATTCATGTTCACCGATGTAGGAATAAGTAAAGTTGGAAAAAATAACTTTAAAATTAAAATTTCAATGAAATAAACTTTGAACTAGCTTGGATCAAATGCATCAGGACAAACAATAACTCAAAGTTGTGTGGCTCTTGAGACTAGATTTAATGTGAGTGCATGATTTGATGGCCTCGTACGCTCAAGTGAGATTGCCCTACACATAAGTCGAAAACCTCCAATATTAAATCAAAAGCAAGATACTAGTGCTGCTAACGTGACGATCGCAATAGATGCTTTCGAAAAGTAGCCGAGTGAAGGTCAAATAATTCTGTTCTGAATTAAACAGCATGCCTCGGGCAATCAGATTAGCTGGAGGATAAAACTTTGGACAGATGAGTACACAGCGTACCTGAAGTTGGTAAGCTAATTCAGCTTTGACTCGGAGAGCGCGCACCTCGCGATCACAGGCTGCTCGACGCAGAGCGAGATCGCGTTGGGAACGCGCGATTGAGGCCTCGGTACGTAGCTGCTCCGCCATCCGCGCCTCTTCCGCCTGAGCGGCACGAATGCCCGCGTCTCGACGCGCCTCCGCCTCGCCAATCCGCGCGTCACGCTTTACTTGAGCCGTCCGTGCCATTCCCAGTGCTTCAAGGTAGCCCTATGGCGATTGTGATACTATAATACTTGCTATTTACTACTAGCTACTTACTAGCAATTATGGGACCTAAATCCCATCATTAACTTGCTTCATATCTAAAACTCATTCAGGATAGCGTAAAAAAAACAGGAAAAACCGCGTCGCCCTGACAAATGTACTTTGTTTTCTCTTGTTTGCCACCAATACCTCGATTCCTTTAGTTTTCAAAAGGTGTCTCACCACAAGTAAATAGTTATTCCCCAACTAAGCACAACGCCAAAATTGGTTTTGAGATGCAAAACATAGACCAACACTTACCTCATCGTCTTTGACATCCTTAAGCGTGTAACTAACAACGCTGATACCCATGTTGACAAGATCGGAGGAGGCGACCTCAAAGACGCTGCGAGAGAATAGTTTGCGATCTTTGTAGATTTCCTCTACAGTCATATTTCCCATAATGGCACGTTGGTGACCTTCTAATGTCTCCTTGGCAATCTCTTGAATCTCCCGTTCTGATTTACCAAGAAATTGCTCGCAAGCTGCACTCAACATGTCCGAATTCGAACTCTGAATTTTAACCTAAAGGAACCCAGAAGTTGGGCTTAGAAGGCAAATGACAGCATAATTTTGTTAACTGGAAACCCTTAAAAAAGCCAGCACTTTTCCTAGAGCTTCACTCCTAACAAAAGATGAACTTACTTGAGCAACACCAGTGACAGTAATGGGAACGCCGTTGCGAGTATAAATACGCGGACTCTCGATGATTAGAGTCATAATATTGAGGGATATCCTGGGAAGATAAACTCCAAGATAAATTACAGACCCGAAGGTGCCATGTTAAATAACAAAAAATCTCAGTGAATTAAACAGATAATGCTGAACCAGACGAAAAAACGGAGCAAAATACCAAGTCACAAAGGTTATATTTAAGATAATAACGAACTTAGGCATACCGATCAAGTCTCTGGATGAATGGAAGTACGAAAACTCGACCGCCAGGCACGTAGTAGGGCTTATTGTGACAACAGCCTGAAGTAAAACAACGAATTCCTTGCTTACCCGATACAACAAGCGCTTCATTTGGACCGCAAGTATAAAATCCCCACCCCATTTCGTAAACACGAAATCCCTACTAACTAAACACCGCGCCTAAAACCCTGTCAAAGCGGTCAGCGTGATGAAGGTGTCGAGCATAAACGGTATCTGCGATACCACATGATTCTCGTTCCTTTAAGTTGTGGAATTTTCAGACTTGAATTCCAGTAGTAAGAATGCGTGCAATCTTGAAAAAGAGAAAAATTTCTCCTTTTAGTTTGAATCTACAAAATAAAGGCATCCACAGGAAGATGAAGGCACCATGCAGAGTAATATACATGTATTGCAACAGACGAAGAATGAATGGAGCTTTGGCATGACCAGAAGGCTAGCTTACGGCTACATGTGCCAAACGAATATCAATAAAACGACAGACATCAGGAGGCCGAAATTTGTAACTAGCCATATTTTGGCATGCTTTAAAGGTCAGCCATATAGGGCCCTTCAGCCCAACGTCAGACTTCCGGACCCCTGACTTCTAAAGGTTATTGTTTAGCGCGTATTTATTTGGCATCCTTTACAGAATAGAAAAGAGTATGGAAATGGATAAGGCGGCGACCCAAAGCTATTCGTTAGAATAATCCTCTCCTTCTTTATGCACGGAATTTGTGCTCGAATTAAACGATCGCCTCTCCCCCATAATGACATCCAAACCACACTAATATAGGCATTACAAACATATTCCGAAAGATGACCCAAGAGTAGTAAATGACCGCGACCGCGTAATGAAGTATCAGCAGACAGTTTAAAATGAAAGCCTCTTGGGTTCCATGTTAGGCATTTGAAAGCTTGCTATTTAACTGTTTGCTTATACGGGCTTTAACTTGATCTGAGGCAGCGACATGGTCACTAATTTGACTTCGTCCCTTAGAGGCGGTCGAACACCCAAAGTGTTACAATGTTCATCTCTTTCTTTGGGTATGGGTCTTGGAAGTGTTCTTAACAAACTGTCCGTGTCAACTATCACAACAAAATTGGTGCAGAAAAAAGGCACAAAAGCCA